TATATTCCCTGTATTAAAATGGTTTCCTATTTACTTATTGAAAAGCATTTTAGTATGGTTTATGTGTAATATTAAAGATTATTCAACACTTCTCACATCTTACAAATCTATAAGGTCACATGCTTTTAAAATAGTAGCAAGTTAAACTTCACTCTTGAATTCTTTACAATCTGAGTCAAACTAAGTTATAATTTAGGATTGTCTTTAAACAGCCATTCAGAAACATAAAACTGTAGAACTGTGTATTTGTGATTGGGAATGGTGCTTTTGCCAACTTAAAAGGATTAAAGTAGCGGAGATATACATAAATTTTAAAATGTGTGATCGCAAGACTAAAGATAATTAAAAAGAAAACCACAGATCATGATTTTTTGACTGTGCTTGATTTCATGACTGATGCAGAAACTTTAATGATTAAAAAGTGCAGGAGCCCTAAATATCAGTGCAGCAGCATTAACCAGTCATGGTGCTAGATTGTTTACTTGGTTTTCTAGGACTGCCTGAACTAGAATAACACTTCACTAATTGACTCTTAGTTTCTTTGCCCAGATTGAGAACTGCAGCATTTATGCCAGACATGGACAGACAAATGCTTCTGGTCATAGTTTTCAGATGTGTAACAGTGTAATTACATACTGAATTATTTCATGCATAGTCTGTGCCATACACATTTAGAATAGTCCTTGGAGATTTTATGGAGATGGTGAGCACAAGGTAAGACATAAAGAATGATGAGAAAATAAATCTGTGCTGGCGAGCTGAGAGCTGTGTCTTTGTGGGACAGTGAGAAGACTGGGAAGATGTAAATCCATAGTCTCAAAGGTGATAGGAATGATTAGATAGGTGTTTAAGGCCTGAAAGCAATTTATAACATGTGAGTCTTATTTTTATTTATAGAAGAAATGTGGAAAGCTTGCTATAATTCGTATTTGAAATCCTAGTCTGAGTTATGGTGGGGAATTTAAAGATGCATCCTGGAAATACTTTTAAGATTTCAGCCTTTAAAAGGCCTTGTAGCAGAGGACTTGGTGACTGCATAAAGTTAGTGGTATTCAGGGACAGTGTAGCAATTAACTTACAAGGGGACAATCCTGGACTAATGTGAAAGAAAGTAAAGGCTAGAGAGTTGATTTTCTTTTTTTTTTTTTTTTTTTTTTGGCATTCTGGAAATGATACAGGAAACAAACATATTAAGGTAGATACAGAAATACAGAAATGTGTTCAACCTTTCATCTGGGCTAGTTGTGAGGTTTTGTTTGTTTTTTGAGACATGGTCACACTATCGCCAAGGCTGGGGTACAGTGGCGTGCTCTTGGCTGGCTGCAACCTCCACTTCCCAGACTCAAGAGATTTCTCCCACTTAAGCTTCCCAAGTAGCTGGGACTACAGGTGTTCACCACCATGCCCAGCTAGTTTTTTTGTAGAGATGGAGTTTTGCCATGTGGCCCCAGGGTGGTCTCAAACTCCTGAGCTCAAGCAATCTGTCCACCTGCCTTGGTTTCCCAAAGTGCTGGGATTACAGGCGTGAGCCACCAGGTCCTGCCTGGTTTTCAAATTCAGAAATCTTATTTAACCCAGAAGTAATCAGCCTAATAGTAACTTAGGTTTAGGTTTAATTTTTTTTCAGGTTTAAAATTTCTCTTGTTTCTTTTTTTTCTTTTTTCTTTTTTTTTGTTTTGAGACGGAGTTGCTCTGTCACCCAGGCTCGGCGGAGTTGCAGTGGCCGGATCTCAGCCACTGCAAGCTCTGCCTCCCGGGTTTACGCCATTCTCCCGCCTCAGCCTCCCGAGTAGCTGGGACTACAGGCGCCCACCACCATGCCTGGCTAGTTTTTTGTATTTTTTTAGTAGAGACGGGGTTTCACCGTGTTCACCAGGATGGTCTCTATCTCCTGACCTTGTGACCCGCCCGTCTCAGCCTCCCAAAGTGCTGGGATTACAGGCTTGAGCCACCGCGCCTGGCCCTCTTTTTTCTTTTCTTTTCTTTTATTTTTTAGATGGAGTCTCACTCTGTCGCCCAGGCTGGAGTGCAGTGGCGCAATCTCGGCTCACTACAACCTCCACCTTCCGTTTTCAAGCGATTCTCCTGCCTCAGCCTCCCGAGTAGCTGGGATTGCACGCACTGGCCACCATGCCTGGCTGATTTTTGCGTTTTTGGTGGAGACAGCATTTCATCATGTTGGCCAGACTGGTCTTGAACTCCTGACCTTGTGATCCACCCACCTTGGCCTCCCAAAATGCTAGGATTACAGGTGTGAGCCACCACGTCCAACCAATTTTTCTCATTTCTGTACCTCCTATATTAAGGTCTGTGTTGGCACAGATGAGTAACTGCTGTGTTCTAGGTCAGTTATGCCCAAATACTTCTGGTGGTTTAAAATGTAAGTGATTCTGTAACTTTTTATTTTATTTTATTTTATTTTATTTATTTATTTATTTATATATATTTTGAGACAGAGTTTCACTCTTGTTGCCCAGGCTGGAGTGCAATGGCGCAATCTCTGCTCACCGCAACCTCTGCCTCCCAAGTTCAAGCGATTATCCTGACTCAACCTCTTGAGTAGTTGGGATTACAGGCATGTGCTACCACGCCCGGCTTGTTTTGTATTTTTAGTAGAGATGGGGTTTCTCCATCCTGGACAGGCTGGTCTCGAACTCCCGACCTCAGGTAATCCACCCGCCTTGGCCTCCCAAAGTGTTGGGATTACAGGCGTGAGCCACCGCGCCCGGTCAACTCTGTAATTTTTTAAAAAGGACGTTTCTATCAGGGATATATACTTTCAGAAATAAGGAAACTGGGGAAGAAAGAGCTAGCACTAGAACCCACATGTTTTCATTTCTAATGCTTCACTGTAGGTGGCTCAGTTGGTAGAATCAAAAGTAAGAGCCAGATGTATTTAAGGGATATTCAAATGCCACCTACACTCTTATTTTGTCTGGAACAGTGCTGTCTAATAGAACTTTCTGTGACGATGGATATTTTCTAGGCTTTTGCTGTACAGTATGGTAGCCACTAACTACATGTGGCTATTAGGCCCTTGAAATACAGCTAGCGTGACTAGAAAGTATTTTATTTTAAATTTACATAGGCACAAGTGGCTAGTGGCTAATGTATTGACAGTCTGGGTCTAGGACTAGAACCAGTGGTCTGTAACAAAAGTACTTCCCCTGTACTCTTATCAAATCTAGAATTAGCTGGGTGTGGTTACTCACGCGTGTAATCCCAGCACTTTGGGAGGCCAAGGCAGGCAGATCACTTGAGGTCAGGAGTTTGAGACCAGCCTGGCCAGCATGGCGAAATATAAAAATTAGCCAGGTGTGGTGGCGGGCACCTGTAATCTCAGCTACTTGGGAGGCTGAGGCACAAGAATCACTTGAACGTGGGAGGTGGAGGTTGCAGTGAGCCAAGGTTGTGCCACTGCATTCCAGCCTGGATGACAAGAGTGAAACTGTCCCCAAAAACAAAAAAATCGAGAATTCTTGCAAGTACGTTGTATTGTCCTTCAGAACAGATTCCAGTTCCTGTTGTGCTCACCTTTATAATTTTACCGTATGTTTTACCTGTTCGTAAGTTGGCAGTTCATTTTAGATAGGTAACATTCTGGTGGTAGCTAGGGATGTACCTTTTGTCATCCTTTTCCTGCATTTTTCTCAGATTCTTTTATAGATACACATTTTTGCTTTAACCACTGAAGATTGCTATAAATTATAAAAGGTGTGATAGAATCCACATGGCTGTCAAGAAGGAGGTCGTACTAAGGACAGTTGACTGACTAGTCTCAGATTGTTTAATATCATTTAAACTTGGGCAAGAGTAAACTAAATAACTGGGCGTCGTGGTGCACACCTGTAGTCCCAGCCACTCTGTGGCAGGAGGACTGCTTGTGCCCAGAAGTTTAAGACTGCAGTGTAGCTATGAGTGTGCTACTACACTCCAGCCTGGGCAACAGAGTAAAGCAAACTCCATCTCTTAAAAAGAAAAAAATGATGTGGTCTGCGTGTGGTGGCTCATGCCTGCAATCCCAGCACTTTGGGAGACCGAGGCAGGCAGATCACCTGAAGTCAGGAGTTTGAGACCAGCCTGACCAACATGGTGAAACCCCATCTCCACCAAAAATATAAAAACTAGCTGGATGTGGTGGCAGGCACCTG